AAAGATGATCTCTGCTGCTGTAGCAGCGAGATGCTGCAGCTTCTTCAGATTCTGCTGCTGCTGCAGCTGAGTCTGAAAAGGCTGCAGCAGACAGCAGCAATCCGAACGCTAAACAGCTGCAGCGCCAACACGGCGTTCCCTGACCTGCATGCTTCCATGCATGCACGCATCCACACATGTAGCCCGTGCATGCATACATGCATGTATATTATCCTGTGCATGCATGCAAGCATGCATGCATACACAGGATGGTTAAGGCGGGGCGGAGTGTCAAGCAGCAAACTTGCTGCGCAGCAGAGACACCTGCTGCTGCGTCTCCTTCGCGTGCTGCCACTCCTGAGCGTCGATGAAGACAACCTGCAGCAACAGCAGTAGCAGCAGATGTAGCAGCAGATGCAGCAGCAGACAAAGAAGCAAATGCAGCAACGGATGAAGCACAAGCCACAGAAACAAATGCAGCAGAAGATGCACCATCAGATGCAGCAGCAGAGAGCTGGCTGCCTGCAGCAAGCAGCAACAAGCACGGAGAAAATAAAAAGAAACAAATGCATGCAGCCAAAGCCATGAAAGAGTGGACAGAAAAGACAGACAAGGAAGAAGATGCATGCAGGTTGCTGCTGCTGCAGGTTGCTGCTGCTGCAGCGACGCAACAACACACTGCATGCAGGGCTCCTGCTGCAGCATTAGCACGTATGTTCAGCAGCACCGTCCATGTGTTCCTGCTGCAGCAGGCAGCAGCAACACCAATTTGCTCTTGCTGCAGCCGGCAGCAGCAACATTCACGTGCTGCTGCTGTACCAAGCAGCAGCAAGCCCCACGTGCTGCTGCTGCAGCAATCCTCAGCCGCACGTAGGTGTGTTCTAGGAAACAAATCATCATCATCAGCAGCAGCAGCATCATCAGCAGCAGCAGCCACCTGCTGCTGCTGCTGCTGCTGCGTGTGTTTTCTTACCCTCATTATCCCCATGGCTCTGAATGCCCTCAGCAGCAAATATTTATATCCAGTATTGAAATTGCGGCGACTATTGGGGGCCCCCGCAGCAGTACGCAGACCCTCTGCCTCAGACTGCAGCACGAGGGGGGCCCCCCGTACCCATAGGCAAACTTCAGAGAGAGGCCACTGACAGCCAAAGGCAGAAGACGAAGCAGCAAAGGAAACACCACCCCCCACGCGATAGTCTAGACACGCCTCTTTAGCAGCAACTGCAGCAGCAACAACAGCAACGGCAGCAGCAGCAACAGCAATTAAACAGCAGCAGCAACAGCAATTGATACAGCAGTGTTGGTAGCAAGAGCAACGGCAAGAGAAGGAGAAGTGCAAACTGCAGCAACAGCAGCAGCAATAGTAGCAGCACGAGCAGCAGCAGCAGTACCAGCAGCGGCAGCGGGTTGCAGCAGAACGAACAACCGGATGGAGGCGCAGAGGAAACCATAAGAACAGAAAAAAATAGAGAGAGAAAACAAAGCAGCAATAAAAAAAATACAGAGACGGAGACAGAGAGACAGAGAGAGCAGAA